CGTCATTGACCATTAATGCCCTTTTGTTTTAACACACTGATATAACTGAATATTAATATTTTTACTTTTGAAACATGTTTAATTACATAGTGTGGAACCTATGTGGTGTAACCTAAGAGTTATTGGTATCCATTTGGTCTTGTATTGTAATCTCTTTTGACTACTGCATTTAGTTTTAGAAAGTTTAAGTGATTTTAAGAGTTACTATACTGAACTTTCTTCAGTTTACTACTGTTTGTGATACTGATTTTCAATCACTGTGTTAAATTTTGCTTGTAACATTTGACTGTCAATTGTTTAAATGAATGTTTTTAATCAATTTTTCGATTTCTTTTTTTTATGTAACTATTTACCTTCTATACTGTGTAAACCATTTGCATATTCTTTACCATTTAGTTAATTTTAAAGGGTCTTTTTTTCCCTCAATAAATAAGCCTTATTTCAAAATCACATTTCTTTGTTCATTTGGTTGGCACCTTCTAATCCAATGTGGGACCAATCTCTTTCTGGGAGAGTAGCAAATTGATGATCAGATAGCTCCATCTGCAGATTTTCTTTTCCTTGAACTAGTCCGAAGAGTAAGTTGGTTAATACTTTTATTTAATCATTCATTGTTTCTCCCAATTGTCAACTTTGATAATTTTTGGTAATTTTAATTTTAAAACTACCCGGTACTCAATATTTTCAAAACCGCCACTTTAACCTCCACACTATACTTGTTTTTTCGCACCAGCGTAGCTACATCAACTTAGTTACCTTGACGCTGAACTAGTGCAAACCTCTAATGTAGACAAGGTATGCCAGCAAAAGAGTGGTCTGCAATAGTACATTACTCTGATTCAAACCCTAGTAAGGTGCACCACGCCAAATCACTTATTACACCAGTGTAGTACCTCTTCACTATAGGTCCGCATCAGCTCAGCCATACTGGCACAGAGAATCTCAGGGTGTAGACAAGCTCTTGAAAGCACTGTAGACAATATTTTTATTCTCTCTGTAAAAGCCATGCACAACTATGGATCTGTATTAAATATTAGGCAGCCTGGGACAGGAGCTTAAGTTTAGGATGATGGCCATGCATGTGCTCACCTAAATACGTACGTTTTGTGTTGAAGGACTTCTGAACACTGTGATATTACAATAAGGAATCCACTAAGCCAGTTCGTGTATTTAAAAGCATCTTTACAAAAACTTACTCCAAAGTTTTCAAATATCAGTGCTGCAAACAAACAGTCACTGAAATTTGTATGAAGAACCTACAATATGTGGCCTGATCTTCAAAGCTAGTGAAAGGAGCTGAGAGTGCTTAGCATTGCTGGAGGGGGAGGGGGGGAAATAAATAAATAAAAAAATCAGGCCACTTCTTTTGGTCCCTCTATCTTGACACATCCAAGTTTGAAACCTGAAAATTACTTATAGCCTCCGTGACTACACGCTTTCCAGCATATTCTAACAATGTGGTCGAGAATATTATGTAAAAAACAAACAATGAACTCAATTCAATTATGACAATGAACTTTTCACTGTTCTTGGCAGTTAGCCTAATGTAAGAGTCTTCCTGCACCCAATCCAGATGTAGAATTGCAAGGAGAACACGGGCCAGAAGAGACAGCATCAATACAATCTAGCGTGCAGAGCTGTAGGTTGCCTCAGCTATTCAGATCATTCTCCTCTCTAAAGGAACTAGACCCTAAAGATGTTACATCTCCAAACTCTGTTGTCTGGTTTTTGTTTTGAGTTCCTTTTTTGGTAGGACCTGTTATTCACATACAATATCCTAGTATACAAGAATGCATACAACGTAAAAAAAAACAGGCATAGAAATGAAAGCTTATTATTATTATTTATTAACTTTATGTTCATTCTGGTATACTGCAATACTCTGAGTCAGGCAGTCCTAGCTCTCCGGAGGTTAGTTTGCCTGTAGGACAGACCATTTATCTTTATTAAATCCTACTTTCGCTGCAGAAAAACTTTATTTTAGCTCTTCATGTCTTTTTCTTCTCGGAACAGAAAAAATTATTTTGACATGAAATTAAAATGATTCCTGTATTTCTATCAGTCTTCTTCCTTCCCCAGAAGCCAGAATCACATTTAGGATACTAGTGCACAGCATCAATCACTCAGCTTTTATAAAGCTATTAATTAAAGTTAAGGGGAGAATTATATGGGGTATTTAGATAAAGGAAAGGCTGGTTTTGGATGGCAGTCTTCAAGAGCTTTAAGTTAAGCCTTGAAAAGAGATGATTGAGAATTATCTTAATCATGGTTTTAAAAAGACTTGATGGGATCATACAAGGATCTAGGGATAAAATCTGTTCACATGACAAGGCAAAGGTGTCACCTGAGGTCATCAGTTAAACTAAAGGAAAAAAGATTTAGATGAAATATCAAAAGCAGTCTCTTCGTAAGGATCATCAATATGTGAAATAGGCTGCCAAAAGAGAGAGATAGCATGAAGGAATTTGAGACTTGACAGATATACAGAATAAACTAGTTACATTTACTGAGGTGTAAAATTCAGACACTGTGATGCAGAGAAATCTGTGATATTTGATTTCGGAGGCCACTGTTTTATACACATACACACAGAGTTTAAAAACTTCTATATTAGTTAACAATGCACATCTGTTAAGCCAGAACAGAAAAGGCAAAGCTTCCAAAAATATTGCAACAGTAATTTAAAATTTCACTGGCAGGCCAAGCCTCATCTGATTTGAAAGAGACAAAAAAGCAAATATCTGATAAGAATAAAGTCTCCCAGCAGGAACTTACAGCTATTGCCTGTGACAGAAAGCAGGGAGTTAACAGGTGAGTCTGCGCTCCCATCACTCTGACACAAATTAGCTTCCCCTCAGAGGGCTGATTGGGGCACCAAAATGTACTTAGTTAAATCAGGATAGCAGGCTGGGAGAGCTAAAGGATTAATTAGCCCCTCAGCTGAGGGCTGATAAAAAGGCAACAGGAAGGAAGTGTAAGGGAAAGAGCAGGGCTAGCTGAGCCCAGACTCAGAGAGACCTCCAGGAAAGGAGACCTCTAATCCTCATAGGCCCAGGGAGAAGCACTGAGGATACCAGGGCCATTGTGCATAATTACTGCTACACAAAACTGTAAAGGTCTTGGTGGAGGGATCTGAAATAAACAGCATGGTGTGGATATTCAACCAGGGGGACAGAGAACTGCCCTGTTACATTGGCCAACAGTACTAATTCCAAATCAGGAGAGACTAAACGATCAACTGCAATGTAAAGCCAAAAAGCAGTCTTTGTCTATTTTCTGACCAGCCAGTGTTGGCCGCAACTCACTAAAGAGTCTACTGAGGATCTTACCACCTAATAAAAGAAACTTCCACTTTGATGGTGAATCAAATTAAAGCTTCAACTCTAGAAAACACAGCAGGGCCTAGGGATTGGGTGGAAGAGACAGTGAACAACTGCTCAACTGAATTTATTTTTTATAAATTTATGTGACCACAGATAAAGAAGTTCCACTCCTGTGGCTATTTGACATCTTGTGGACTAGATTGTGCCTAGTTGTATCCTAGGGGGAATAGTGGGGGAACCATTTAATGGGTTTTTCTTCCTCTTTCGTGACCCTGTGCAAAAGGCAGCCTCAAACTCAGTCTCTGCACTCCTGGCAAGTGTCTAGTACTGAAGCACCCCAAGGAGGGAAGGCAGCAACAGGGTGTGGTGGGAGTCACGGCCCCACTATCCTCCCACACTGGCCAATAGAATAGCACCAGGACAATTCCACACCTTCCCAAAGGGTTCTGTAGCTCCCACTCTGGCATGGACTCCCACTCCCAGAGGCTGCGGTTTGCGTGAAGCACCTCAGTGCTCACTTTGCAGCCCAGTGCAAGCTCCAGGTATAAAAGCCAGAATAGAGCCCTACATGTTGTAAAGAGTTCTTCGGCCTCTTGTGATAATAGAAGGAACACATTTTAACGCATAGTTATATTTAAATTTCCATATTTCAACATTTTTCAAAAGAGGAAATGATCCCAACCATAGCACAATGAACAGATTTTAAGCCTGAACTACTAACATGCAACAGGAATAAATTCCTTTACTTTCACAATTATAATTTACTGTAGTAGAGAATATATATTTTCTGAAGTCCACAGTATACAGGTAGCCAGGTTCACTTCTGGTCTTACATGGGTATTCAGAAACATAATCGGAATGGAACTAATCTGCTCTTTTAATGTAACAAAAGACCTCAAAATTCAATTTCTGACCTTTTCTAAAGTTACTATCCCATTATAAAGACCAGGGGAAGCTCAGAGCCCTGATGGCTTTATTCTTTCGGGTTGTCTGGTAAGAATCTGAACAAGACAGCAGTACACTGGCTTATATTGTACGTGTTCTCTTTGTGATAAGGCAAGATACAAATATTTTAAATGAAAGTCTGCATACTGAACAATTAAGTAATTTTGACACAAGGGAAACAGCTTGTTTGATCCAGTGCATGTGTGCATGGGACGGCGGGGGTGGGGGGGTGGGGAAAGAGTCACAACCTGAGAGCCAGCAGATCTGTTCTCTATTCCTGACTCTACCACTGTCTCACTATATAATTTTGAACAAGTTACTTAACCTCTCTGTGCTTCAGTTTCCTCATATGTATAATGGTGACAATGATACAATGCTGACTACCTACCTTCGTAAAGCATATTAACATCTATGCATGAAAAAGCATATTAACATCTATGCATGAAAAGTGTACATGTTAAGTATTATTTCACATCTTAAATATCTAAGTATTTCTATAACCACAAACCTGAAACCATGCATTTTCCTTAGTGCCATTAGATAAGTTTGGTTTTCAAAGAACTGACACACACACACAAAAATCTGTCTTAGAATTCACTGTGCAATAATAAAAAGAAGAATAGGAGTACTAAATTAAATATTATAATGTTTAAAAGTATAGTACTAAAAATATATTACTAACAATATTTTAATACCTTATTCATAAACTACATATAAACAGAGCTTACTTACAGGTGAGCTATCCTCTCTCCTTTCAGAGGAGGTAGAATGTTCCCCGAACCAATTAGGCAGTTGTGCACTATAGTGAGACACTGCTGTACATCATCTCTGGAAGTCAAAAAAGTTAACATTTAAGTCAAAAATTTCAATGATAGAAAATAAGTGAAGATTATTTTTTTTCTTTTTATCAATTTTTTTTAATAAAGATGTTTTTTCTTGGGTAATCTTAGCAGCTTCTTCCCACTAGAGGTGCTCTGCAGGCAAGTCAAGCATTTCTGATCCTCTAATTCATTAATCTTAAAGACCATTTCATAAAATCCTTTCATGAAGCACCTCCTTTCACACAGCTCTAACCCTCAACAGTTTAGTTTTCTGAATTATTTATTTTGCACACCATCCTGAAATAGTGAAATAAGGAAATCATCTGCAGCACGAGATGAAGAGTCTAATTTAATGCACAGATAACACTGATTTTTCCAAACCCCAAAGATTATCTGAAAATTTTTATTTCCTTCATTACATAAAATGTTCTAGTGTTAAGCGGATCATTTTCCCAGGAAGATTCTTTTTTTAACAGTGTTAATGTTTTGCTATCTCTGTGCTACTGTAGATTTTGAAGAGCAAAATAACTTTTTCCTAACTATTGGTAATGAGTGGCCTCCTAAAATCAAAACTTAGACCGCTTCCATCATATAGGGGGGACCTGTGTATTATATTGAAAATTTACATTAGTTACAAAGTTAGTCCTCTGTCCTTTTATTAAAAAGCCTTGTGATGAGCAGAGTTTATACATTTTAAAATAATTCCTGGCACTGTTTTTTGAATTCCTAACTAATTTTTTGGGGGAAGTGCTCCTTGATTACAAAATCCTTAGCTATTATGCATTAGATGTGAAGAATCCTTAATATTTTTAAACACTGATGTCTACATTTGAATTTTTCATTCATCTTCACCTGTATGACTTCATTATAAAGTGACTGGAAATATTTATATTAAGGAAATTTACTCCTGACTGATTTTTGTATATGGCTTAAGCATAAACTGCTAAGTATGTGCTTTTATTTCCAGGACTAATATCCACAAAAATGTTGATTTCTAGTTCTCAGATAATGGAGTCAAACTATTGGAGTTGGCAACTTCTGGAGAAAAAGGAACTCAAGCACTAACAAATTTCAAACATCTCTGTACTTGGGTACACAGCACTCATCTAGGATTCATCCCTAACCCTTATCTACCAGCCAACCGCAATACCACTAATGGCCTGTATTAGGTCTCTTGACCTGTTTTCCTCTCATTTTCTAGTTCAAGCTCTTGAATTTACTTCCCTGCTACTGCTTTTTTTCCCCCCCAATATTTATTTTTTTAATATTGTGAGAAAGCCTATATACCCTGACCAAGACAGAGATCTCATCATGCTACACACTATATAAACAGATTTAGAGACGGTCCCTGCCCTGAAAAGCTTAAATATAAATAGAAAAGACAGACACAGGGCAAGAAAAAAGGATATATAACCAGAGAAATGGGTTGTAAATTCCACTCTGGTTGGCTCCTTTTTAAAATATATTTTTGGCTGGATTTCTGTAGAGAGATGATTGACAGGAGCAGGTAAGAGGTTGTCATGGATATATGAAAATGTGGGAACCTGCTCACCGGGACACAGAGAGCTGGAGGGGCCCCACATGTCTGTCTTCATGAAGGACACCACTAAAAACTTAGTGCTTACCTTGATCAGATAATACTACTTATGAGTTATAAAACAACAGGTCCATGTACTTTAGTCTTTTAGGAAGAAGCAAAGACCTCTATATTCAAGGACTTTTACATTCTGATGTTTCTGATTATAGTTCAAAAGAATCTGTCACATATTTAAAGAAAGGGGCATCCACCAAAATGCCCAGAGTTTTCAGATGGAGGTTCCGGGGGTCACAAACAGGGGTTCATAAGGGCTAGTGGGGGAGGACAGACTGGGGCAAGGACTGCATGGGAGTGGAGGTCCAGGGACGGGGCGGCAGGGTGGAGACAACATGGGAGGGGGAGGGTGTGCAGGGCCACATGGGGGAAGGCAAGGGGCTGAGTGGGGGCACAGAGATACATGTGGATGGGGAAAGGGGGCTGGCTGAGGGGATGCAGGACCACATTGGGATGGGGAGTGGGTGTCTGAGTGGGGGTGGAGGGACACACAGGGACTAGGAGTGCAAGGACACATGGAAACAGGGGCAGATACAGCTGACTGAATGGGAAAGGCTAAGGGTCAGCCAGGGTCTGCATGGGGGAAGCTCTCTAAAAATCCTTCTTCCTCCCCAAACCTGTTCCATTCTTCTCCCACCCATACCTAACAACCCTCCAGGTTCACTCCCAGGCTCCTTCCCCCTCCCTCAGCTCCTCCATTACCCCTGACTCCCACAAGTCTTTGCACTGCTTCTGAGAGATGCAGGAAATACAGTTCTGTATTGTAGTTTAAATGAATTACTCAAAGTTCTGTATTAATATGCCTAGTAAGGAATCTAGTTGTCAAAAAACTTTCCTGAATCTTTTTTGGTGTCTATACTGTTACAGACATACTTGCTGACAGGTACTTTGAAATAAACTACCAAAATAATTGAAACTGGTATGATTATATTGTGTTATTTTGACAAATAAAATATGCAGAATTTTAAAATAGTGTGTGCAGAATTTTTAATTTTTTGGTGCAGAATTTCCCCAGGAGTAGCCTATGCAATAGATGCTAGCCTATGAGCATAAGCAATGCAAAGTGCAGCTGCTAATGTATATGGCTAGAGTCACCTAGTGTATCCCACATGATACTACTGACCTGGACATTTCTTGATTTCCATTTGCATAATGCTCTAGCTTGGTGAGCTCTGGCTGAAGAAAAGAATCCAGTAAGTAATAGGCAAAGGTTATTTCCTTAGATGAAGGAACATGCCACTGGATATTCAGGTTCCACAAGTCACCTGGTTTACCCCAGTCCTATAAGAACAAAAACAAAACGACATTTCCCCTTAGTAAAATGTGAAGCAAACATTAATTAAAAAGTTAACAGATATGAAGAACATCACTTTCAAATATAAGACTACCCATAAGTAAAAATAACTGTAAGTTCAAGGAGCTAAATTTATACTTAAATCTAGTTGGCTATCCAAGAACAATATGAAACTTGCAACAAATAGCTAGAATATAAAAGATATACTTTCAAGGAATAACTCGCTGACAATTTTGATGTTCTCACTGAAGTAGATTCTTACCATTTGACACAATCCTTCTCTTATAGGTCTCAGATATACAAAATACCCCAAATTCTAACTCTGACTTTTGATCTTTCCATCAGAGGTCACCAAAAGGTTAGCCTATTTTATCAGTTTTCAATCACTCGCTCTTTTAAAACAATCCTGAAATTTGGTATACTCATTCATTATAAAAAACAAATTTGAAGTTTGACATTCCCATCCCAGGTCATCAAAATTCAGTCTAATAATTTACAAAGCTTATTTGAACTCCCCTGTGATGCAGTAATGTGTCCAGTTTGGAGAAATGAAGGTAATCTGAGGTCACCCATTCTAATTACCCAGATTTTGCCAAGGAAGTTATCAAATGCAAATAAGTTATAGCCATGTTAACATAAAAGAAGGACTGCTGCCAGCTAGTGTGCATTGAGAGAGATTTTGTAGAACCCAAGAGCCCCAGTCATGGATTAGGTCCCCACTGTGGCAGGCACTGTATAAACACAGTCCCTGACAACCTAAAACTTAAGTTATCTACCTACAGAAGAGATGCACAACAGACAATGACAGCACAGATTCCTCAAATTCAGCTCAATATTTTTCTGGAGAAACCACTGTTAGGAACAAGAGGTTATTTCAGGATCTATGCTCATTCAGTGTCTGACCTCTTGACCAAGACATTCTAACACGGGTCCCAAATACAATGTGGACATGTCCACAGGGAAATCCCATCTTATTTCACATAAGAACAAATAGCCATCATATTGTAATTACTTTTAGGTCAGAACTGGTATGTATGTTTAATAGAGAAACCAGTGTCAGATGAAATCAAAATAAAAACCCTCAAAAGGCTCAGGAATTTGCTACTCCAATTTAAAAATATTTGTTTAATATTTCTCTGTTCTGATCCTTTTATAAAATGGTCTTGTTTCCCAACCACTTTCTAATGGTATAAATGATTAAACAAAGAGCAAGGCAGTGGAAAATCAGGTTCTTAAAAAAACCACATGTTCATATTTACTTATTTTGCATACTTTTCCCACTGTTCATGAAATTATACGTCCCCACATGTGGGGAAGAGGAACTAGGAAGGGCTATAAGTCTGACTCATCAGATATGGAGGTGAGGTAATGATGCTTTGGGAGACCTTATCAAAGATGTTAATATTTTCTAGGTCTAGACTTTTTATGTAAAAAAAAAAAAAAAAAAAAAAGGAGGGTCGGTGGAGTGTTGAGGAACCCAAAACTTTGCTGCTCAACTTTAAAGCTAACAGCAATTTACCTGCATCTCATGATTGTCAGGTCTCAAGTCAGCTCATCATAAATTGCTACATTTAGGCATAATACAAAACTATAATCATCATAAATTTGCTTTACACTATTTAAATATAGTAGTGTGAACATCAGCAATACTAAGTGTGCTCCATGTCATTAAGCTATTCAACATAATATTTAGCATTAATCTTTTCAGCTACTAGTGTACATTTATTTCAGTTAATATCGTTACTAATTTGCAATGCAGGTTTCAAAGTTTAAAGCATCTTTCAATTACACTTTCCATATTCACTGTATTGATAAATCTTGAAATAAAAACAAATAAAATAGAGTAGCATTTTTAAAAAAGGTTGTCAAATCCTCTAATCCTAAATAAATGAAAATCCTTGCCTTGATAGGAAAGTATTCAGAAAGAGGCTTGTCAAAGCCACCTGGCACACTGCAGTATTCTGTGGGGTAGATAAGTGTAGTAGAACGAAGAAGATGGTGCAGTAGGTTACAAGACAGAATGTAACCCTGCTTACAGGTTAAATGTAGGGTTCGCTGCAGAATCTTCACAAGCTGCTCCCTGTATGGCAGCAACTTCTTTCCATCCACTCGAGTGATCTAATAAAAGGTAGAAACATTCAGAAGTAAACATAACCAATGAAGTTCAAGAGCTGTAGCACAGGATAATAAAGATCAACACAAGTCCACAGTACCTGGTATAAAACTAACTCTTAAAGTGGTGCTCCATTAAATTTGTATAGAAACATCCAATTCTGCTGCTACATGAAACAATATCAACTTGACTAATGCAACAGCAACTCCTGACTCTATGGCCTCGCCAAGTCCCAGTGCTGTCCAACCTCCATCATGCGCAAGATTTCTGCCTTCACAAGTGGATCTTTTCAAGTTTCATTTTAAAATATAGATCTTCTCTTGCACAGTTTCATCCCTTGTCCTTTATTGGTACCGGAAACAAATGCTTTAAATTTATTTCCCATATAACTAAAACATTCATTTTCTGTAATGTATATCATATATTACCCACTCTTGCTTAATTCTGCAGTCTTTAGGAAAAAGACTATATGAAATACTACATATAAACTTTAAGTATAATAGTGCAATAGCAAAAATGAACTGCTTCTTTCCGCCCAATGGCACTAAAGTTGAGCCAACGATGGAACAGACATGCAAAGAGACAACCAAAATTTAACTTTTAACATTCTTTGCAGTACCTCTGACAAAAGCTGAAGGTTCCAGAGTAGCTCCTTATCTAGCTCTTCATCATGCAAGACATCATCATCTAAACAGAAAAAGTATGAAGCGCTACTGTTGTTATATGGAAGTTAAATGTTTATATCTGAAGGTTTTCCAATTTCAGAAGTTAAACCCACTTGAGTATTACAAATCAGCTCAGCCATTCACATCCAGAGTATTACATTTATGGATGTTTAACCACCCCCAACCTTCAAATTCATATTTAATTCCCACCCACCAGATGCCAATGCAGTCAGTGTGTTCGTCAAGAAGTAAATGCATTTATTTAATACTAATTCAGGAATCAGAGAGTCAAATCTATTCTTATAAGTGCTTTTATTAAACATGGCAGATGAAAAGTTTGTTAATATTTATCTCTTGAAATGACTTTTGGAAACCACATTTCTTTAGAATTTGTTTACAAACAATCTTTCTACACACATCCTAATAAAAGCACTCTCTTCTCACTTATTCTTTCCCCATCAGTCAGATGACTTTAATTTATAAAAGAAAAAAGAATATTCTCCAAAGAGTAGATGATGATTTTAAAACACCGATTCTATGTTTTAGATCAGCAAAACTCAATCCTGTATGAAGCTAGTGGAATACATTTGAAATCTTCTGAACTTACTTATGGTAAGATGAGTTATAACACTGCAGCAGTGGGGCACAAAGAGCTTCAGAGATTCCTCAGGGCAGCACTGAAAACATGATCATAAATAATCAATTTAAACAAGGACATCTTATGGTGATAAACAAGAAGAATAATTAGCATCATCTCACAACATTATTTACAACAGAAAAGTAAAGAAATAAGAACAGGACCTTACTCAGTTTGGCTGTTATTCAACCTAAAACTTTTTGATGGTTGGAGTTTGATTCCACACTTTTAATTCTCAGCAAGCACAATGGTATATTTAAAGTGTAACACAAACTGCATCTCAAACTTGCAGTCCTATGGATTTTAAACTATACTCACAAACTATTTAACCTGTTACATTTTCATCCCATTACAACTATCAGATTTTAAGCAGGATAATTACAGATAGATTGTAAGAAAAACCTAAATTTCCAAACACATTTAAAGTTTTCCACAATAGTAATGCAGGTTCAGTAAGTAGTAATAGTCTTGTATGTAAATTAAACTCCCAGTGAAATAAGAGTTCTCTTTTTCTCACTTTTACTGCAGCCCGGCACATGTCAGCAACCATCCGACCAGCAACTCTTGTCTCAAATATATTTGAAACAGCAAAGTTAAAAACTTTTTCCAAAGCAACCTAAGTGGAATACAGAACAGAAAAAAATATTATCTCATCAACCATCTTTTGAACAGAGCAATGTACTGCAGTACTGCACCTATGAATAGAGGTGATGCATGTGTGCGGCAAATCATGTCCTCATTGTTATTCTGTAAAATGTTACTGTCAAAAGCGCATGTCAAATAAAAGCAGAAGAAACATGGACCTGGAAAGTCAGAAATAGATATTCTGCAGAATCATTTTAAATACTCAGAATGCTTGAAAGTTTAGTATGGAGAGATCACCCATTCAATTAGCTTTAGTTATAGATGTTGTGTACTGTATGGGGGGGGGGGGGGGCGAGAAAGAGAGAAGGGGAAAGACAGCAACTTATTGTGCGAGAGAAAATCCTGCATAGTTCCTTGCTTGTATGGCATGGCTGGTTTGTTACAGGAAGCTTCTGCAGACTATGTCAAGTTCAGTGCATTGGAAGATAAGGATGTTACAATATGTTTGGAACAAAGAGCTTCACAGTCTGAGAACTTTTTCCCCCATGCATCCGACGAAGTGAGCTGTAGCTCACGAAAACTTATACTCAGATAAATTTGTTAGTCTCTAAGGTGCCACAAGTCCTCCTTTTCTTTTTTTCATGGGTCCCCCATGGGAATGAAGGCAGCTAGAGGAAATCAAAGACCTATTGCTGGTTAGCAGGGGAAGTCTATATCCAATATCCACTTCAGCTTTAGGATACTTCCAAAAAGACACAAACAAAAAAGAAGAGGCTTTCATCAAGTAAGCCACAGAACTCTTCAGAGAAGTATCCCACTCCCTCTGTGGTAGGCTCTCACCTCTCTCCCTCCTCACAACTGAGTGGCCCAAAACACACATTTTCCTGCCGCTATATTGGGTGAAAAGAGCCAGATCCTGGCAATGGTGCTGGACCAGTTCTGGATCAGCTGCTTTCCCTGCCTCCACTTTGGCTTTTCAGAAGGTTTGCAAACTGGAGGTTTAGTTCCTATCCCCACATACAAGCATCTTTACTTTTCCTCACATCCTACAAAGCTAGACCCATAGAAGGGGAAGAGCCTTAAATATTTTGTTAAGTGACATTTAAAAGAAAAGAGCTTAATTCTGTCACCCATCTGTAGGACAAGTTAGATAAAATGCAGTGCAGCCTGCAGGTGACTACTTACTATCCAAATAATGAAACAATTAACCCACTCAACTGGAAGATATACAGATTAATACTTTATAACCGCAACAACACTTAGGAGGTTTATATTAAACCAAAAGAAGCCATACACACTACTATATTTCATGAATGCTTGATGAAGCAGCTTAATTTTTGCATGCTAAGTGTCCAAACACACATGAACTGTAATTTAAATATCACAAGGCCAGAGTTTTTACTGTAAGATTCAGGGAAGACTTTGCTTATAACACTGGTGGGCAGAGAAGCCACAGTAATAGCGATTTCAAACCTCTGGGGGAGAGAAGGCGGTATCTGGGACTTCAGTAGTCACCACTAGCAGATGAAGGGGGAACCTTGCTAAACCAAATTGACCTCTACTACTGTTTTACATTATCTGTTAGAGTATTAAGTGTAGAGCATACACTTTAGAGTAAGTTTTGGCTAAGACTTTTGTACTGAAGCACATCATTGTATTATTTGACAAAGCAGACATCATGAAGCATTTAGCTCTTCTTTTCCAGGTTCTCATCAGAAGTCCAAATGTGCGGCCATCATCAAGAGAGAAGACTCATCAAACGTACAAGCGCTTTGCTATCATAGAAAGAACAAAATCCTCCTTGTACAAAACTGAAAATGAACCAAAAGGTAAACACTTTCTTTTTTCAGTACAAAAGTTCCACATACCTTAAATATCTCTTTTGAACACTGAGTGAGGATTGTACTGAAAGTGGAAGAAAGACCTAATTCCACTAAACTCTCTAGATGAGTCATCTTCTCAGTCTCAGTCTCCTCTCTAGTTTGTTCTAGTGTGCTGCTTTCTATGAGTCCAAAACATCTACACAATTGGAACAAATCAAGATTTAGTGAACGAATAAAAAAGAATCTTACTTTGAAGATTTTCATGCTGAAGTTAGTATATACACTTACCTGTCCATAAACTGCAGAACAAAATCTTCAAATTCAGCAGTAGCAGAGCACAATTCTCTCTCCACCTACAGTTTTCCAATGTAAAGAAGAAAGACTCTGAACATTTAACTTTCCTACTTAAATATATATTTATATTCCCTAACTTACTACCTTTTAAAAAATACTCTCTAAGTAAGGTTAGCACTTGGATCGACAGACTGGAGAACTTAGTATTGCGGTCCGTTTTATCTACAGTCCAAGAAGGGAGCCACAATCCAATCTTCTTTATACTGTCCTACCAGCATGCCTGGCCCTGCAATCTGGTGGTTTAACCTCTGAGGGTGAAAGTAGTTTTGTCTCCACAGCCATTAAATCCTTGGCCCCACAGCTATCGCCAACAAGGATGTCAATTAGTGCTAATTGTGATGGTAGATTTTTTCATGCTATCTGTACACTAGGAACTCTGGGTGCAAACTCTTGCTATATTTTCGTGAGTGCTGTGATTTTGTGGTATTAACATTGAATGAGAATGAGAAGTCTCCAGCAGCTCAGAATTTCTGCCTGAGCTGTAACTGATGGTACAGTTCTGAACACTGCCATAAAGGGCCACTGCTCGGAGACTAAACTGCAAGTATTGGACCACAGCTGCCACCAGCAGGGACCGCTGCTCTATTTGTAGAATCCATCTGTTCCCCAGCTTAAACAGTTTGTGTCAACCATGGGAACAACAGACTGTGGGGCAAGCAAAGAAGCGGGGGAGGAGAGGCAGAGGGTGGCACGGGGGGAGGAGCTGCCTCCGTGGGCCGCTCCTACCCAATCTTCTCCTCTGTTCAACACTAAGTGGAGAGAGGAAGGGACACAGAATCAAAGGTGAGTGGGAAGTGGGGGAGCACAGTAGAGAAAACTGTTTCCAAGCATGGGTGCTGGATGGAGGCAGTGTTTAGGGGACACAGATGGAGCAAGAAGGACAGTGCCCAAAGGGAGGGAGGGGGTAGCAGAGGATAGAGCAAAGAGTTGAGATCAAAGCCTGGGGAAGGGATGGTTTTGGATAAGGGCCCCACCTACCCACTAGCAGTGAATGGGAAAAGGTCCCCCAGTTTGTGTGGTGCATTTTAGGATGACTTCAATGAAATGACCATGCACAAAAAGGGTGATTTCCCCTAAGAGTTCAAAACTGACAAAAAAGCAGCGAAGCACTTGCTTGCTTCTTTTTTCTTTCTTTTTTTATTTTTTATTATTAAGAAAATCATTTCCTTTTTTGGATTTGTGAAGGTGGCAATCGTGGAAACTCAATGTTCAACCTCCTTTCCAAGAGGCTACCAAACAGCTAAATTATTAATTTTAGTCCATACCAAATTGGGCCAGATTTGGACTAAAAATGAGAGGTGGAATATATCTCATTAACAAGCCTTCAGTCTACATACTTTGTTGGATTTATTGTAAACACATTAAAGGGACACTACCACGTGGTTTTACAGAACCCTAACACTAACAGAAGGCTAGGGTTTTGGGGTTTTTTTGAGTATCAAATAGAGTTTGCATTTAAAATATCTCCAAACACTGCAATATTGTACTAATGTATGATAACTGAGAAGTGAAAAGGGATCAATTTTCATTGCTCAATTCAGTAAACCTAAACAGTGAAATGATTTAAGATTTTGAAAATTATTTCTCTTATATTAAGCTGTTACTAATAGGAAGTGTGTTGTTTTTAACTATGCAGGGCAATGTTCTCAGGATGCCCCTCTAAGACTTTTGGTAACACACTTGTACAAGAAGGCAGTTAAATTGTATTCCTGTAGAGAGATCATTATTGTACTACTAGAGTAAGCAATGTTTTGTAGTTTATATTTTATGTCTAGGAAGCATTCTTACCTCTGTGAGATCATCTCTCTCTTGCAGCACAGATGAACAATCTACTAAAGGCACCAGAGTAGAAAACGTTGCAATAAACTGGAATGTGATCTGTTGGGAGTTGCAAACATTTCTCAACGCACATTATCACATTATACATATTAAAAGCTGATGAGATTTAAAACAATCTATGGGATTTAAAGCTTGAGGCATTAATTAGAACAGGAAATCTTTACAAACTTTCTGTAAAAAAAATGAGAAAAAAATTAGTTGTTTTGGAAACTTTTATTAATATCTTTCATTCAAGGCAGAAAACTTCTGTAATGGTTACTACCAAAATCAAGTACAGAAAATAATTCCATTTTCTGTAAGATTATCTTATTTTGTACAATTCAATTATGGAATTTTAAAGAAGAGAGACTTCCAACCTAAAATGTAAAATATGCATAGGTATGCTATATTTAAAGATGCATCAAATGTGAAAGTGACATTAGGTATCAAATATATATTGTTTAAATACCTGATCAGCATGAGTCCCTAAGATATGGGCATTTCAGACCTGATCCAATGCCTACTGAAGTCAGTGAGAATCTTTCCGTTTACTTCAATGAACTTTAGATCAGACCCTTAGGATATGTCCACACTGCAAATTAAGGTGCAATTGTAATGCAGGTAGGGGTACTTTTGCTAGCTTTAATCTAGTTAGTGCAGGTAATAATAGTAATGAAGATATGACAGCACAGGCTTCAGCATGAGCTAGCCAACCCATTGCAAGTCCATCGGGGACCCTGTGAGTGTACACAGATTGCTGTGTCTACTGCAAAGTCTTCCCTGCTATCATTACCTGTGCTAGCTAGGTTAAAGCTAGTGTGGGTCTGCTTACCTGCACTACCATTACATCTGAATTTCAAATGTAGAGATACTCTTAGAGGCAAATTTCTGCCCCCATCCCTTGCACAGATGCGCAATAACCAAACATGCCATTCAGTTCACTGAGCTGAAGGCTATTCAAGGTGAGTCCACTGTATATGCACTGCGGAGTACTGCTGTACAGCAGCATAGAAGGGTGGTCTATGACAAGCCACAAAACGTGGTCAGTGGGTCCACAAACTACATGGATTGCCTGGCTAAAATCCATCCAGATGATGCAGTAATAAAGAGATGCTTCGTGCCATAGCTTCGATATTTTTTTTGGGATGTAGGGAATTTTGTCTGCAATTCTCACATAGGTCTCTTGCCTAAAAACCTTCTATATGTCAGAATTCAACCGCATTTTATATCGCGGCTCCATTCATAAATTGTTTTACTAAGGGTCAATTTGTGATTATAGGTTAGGCCACAATTTAGTCACGGGTATTTTTAGTAAAAGTCATAGACAGGTCACAGGCCAGTCACGGGACCGCTGCCCAGGGCTGGCTGGCCAGGAACTGCTGCCTGGGGTCGCGGACTGTGGCTGCTCCAGCTGGCCACCCGGGGAAACGCTGCCCGGGGCTGCTCTGACCAGCTGCCCATCCAGGGCCAGGAGACCACGGCTGCTTCGGCTGGCCACCCACCAGAGCAGCAGCTGATATGGCTGTCCCAGGGGCCACCTGAGCAGCTGGCCCCAGAGCCAGCTACTTAAGCAGCCCTAGGGTCAGGCACACTGGCACCTGCAGAAATCACAGAGGTCATGGAAAGTCATGGAATCCGTGACTTCCGCAACCTCCATGACAGACACGGAGCCCTAATTATGGGTGATTTAATAAATGGTTAGTCAACGGTTATATTTTGATGGGGTCAACAAGTTGCTTATAATGATCTATACTTTTTACTGATGCACTGAGGGTTATCTATGTACACACACTATTCATACCTGTAATACGTTTATAACATCTATTAATCATTTATTAATCTTTTATAAATGGAACCTTAATATGAAGAGTGACCTAAAATCCTTTGGAAACATAATGTGAGATCAAAACTAAAGAGCCTTCAAAGTAACCCTAAATAGACAGACTATATTTTATACTTTAGAAAATCTTAGATTTATACACTTACCATGCATTTACTAAAGTCATTTGGATCCACACCAGGCAACGCTCTCATCAACAGAGGTAGCATGTGTGTCGGACCTTCAGGAAACCACTTGCCCCCAGACACCAGGCTACGAGCTACGCCAATTACGCAGCTTAAAGTAGCTGTGAGCTGATGAGGTTCTGTTAATGTCTCCAGTGCAGGGTATGTTCTACAGAGATTGAAGAAAAAGGCAGATTAAAAACAGCTAAAAATTGTAAACTTCTAAAAGAAAAACCATACCTGATGAAATTAGATAAACAATACTATGTCAGTTTAAAATGTTCCTTTTAGAAATTATACAATAGTCCAAACCTTTTGTTGTATTTCACTGCACAGTGAATTTAATAACTCCTTTCTTTTAAAACATGCTCCTCTCATCTGAGCAGAGCTGTTCACCACCAGTGTCCCACAGAATTATTGTTGAATAAATTATGGGTGATTCCAGTACATTGTCTGGACTAGATCCAGGGCTATAAAATTAAAAACAAAACAAAAACTGAAGACTGACTATTACAGGTGCTATGGGTTAGTCAAAAAAGCCCATATTATTAAAATACTATCTAGATAAATGGTTCAGATATATTTACAATGAGCTCTTTATGGATTTCAAAAATTATATGTAGGACAAAATCTTGGTCTTTATTGTCTCTAAATATCAAAATTAAATAAAGATGTAACGTTTAAGAGTTTTATATTAACCCATTAACTGAAGAAAGCCCTGTATTTCAAGACATCTTGTTAAAAATTAAAGCTCACATTTATTACACAAATAAAATACTGGAGTTGAATTTTTACCTGTCCTGTGCTTTTTTATATAGGGCACTTCTTTAGCACCCCATATAGTGATAATTGTGAAATAATTCCTATTATTCTCATGACAGTTCAAGGACATACTGAGTCACCGTGTCACATCTGCACTACTTCATTCAAAACACACTAAATTACATTTCTCAGATGTGCCTACACAGAACAGAGCATTGCATTAAGTGTATTGAGACAATAGCATTTAGCAATATAAGCCTTATTATGCTCCACTACTCAATTATGCAGTCATCCCTAACCCAGAATAAATACATTACCACTGTTGCCTTACTTAGAAGAGCAGTTATGTTATTTTTATATGTAACAAATGTAGCGAGTAAATAAAGGAACGTGGGAGGTTAATTTTTCAGACACTGCAAAGTTCAATTATATTCTCTGGAAGGGGATGGTGCAATGGTTTTACAATTTTGGTCATTTGAAGGGAAATGGTAAGAACAGTAAAGCGAAGGGCAACAAAAATGATTAGGGGTCTGGAACACATGACTTATGAGGAGAGGCTGAGGGAACTGGGATTGTTTAGTCTGCGGAAGAGAAAAATGAGGGGGGATTTGATAGCTGCTTTCAACTACCTGAGAGGTGGTTCCAGAGAGGATGGTTCTAGACTATTCTCAGTGGTGGAAGAGGACAGGACAAGGAGTAATGGTCTCAAGTTGCAGTGGGGGAGGTTTAGGTTGGATATTAGGAAAAACTTTTTCACTAGGAGGGTGGTGAAACACTGGAATGCGTTGCCTAGGGAGGTGGTGGAATCTCCTTCCTTAGAAGTTTTTAAGGTCAGGCTTGACAAAGCCCTGGCTGGGATGATTTAATTGGGGATGGGTCCTGCTTTTGAGCAGGGGGTTGGACTAGATGACCTCCTGAGGTCCCTTCCAACCCTGATATTCTATGATTCTATGATTATGTTGTTGCCAGTTCATTTGATTTTTATAGTGAATTTCAATTATAGTTGGGGGCCCAAAACATTCCAGATGAGTGCTATTTTTGCAGTTTTCTTGTAAAATCAAAGGCAACATTGAAGCAAATTTTTTACCTACCTGTAACAATACAATGTATCATTTGTCAAAGAAAATTGAAAAATCAATATAAATAAGTAATATATTACACACTTTTTGCTACTCAAATAACATTAAAGATACTTATTTAAACTTTGGCCCAGATTGTGAGCTGTGACAAGGAGAGCTCAGCACAGCTCAGGAGTGAGGGGTGCAAATCTGGCTTACAGTTGATCCTGAAACTGTCTGTTGACAGTCTCCATCATAAATTAGAGCAGCCTGAAGGCAATTCTAATTTATGCTAGCTAGCAACAGCCCCAGCCATTCCAGGAGCCAGGGAGCAGCTGAGCACAAAAACTAAAAAGCACTTCCTCCTTCACTTGACAACACCCCGACTAACCTAGCTGCAGGGATGGGTGTGGATCCGATCTAATTCAGCAGCTCCCCCAGCCCAAGTACTCCCCTTCATCAAGGAAATTCTTCTGTGGCTCACTATGGCTGCTGGGGGGCAAGCTCTGAACTTCTATTTGCAGTAATGTTTCTTCATTATAACTTACTTTTCAAGTACAGGTGGAATTACTAACTCAGGACGCATTAGTGCAAGATTTTGTAGGGCTTGAGCAGCCTCTAGGCTTCCAGTTTTACTAAACATAGCCAGAAGGACAGGTTGAATAATGCATTCTACGAAGTCTGTAACATCTTGATCAGTAAGTTTATGGCTATCAGGCACAGGAGTTAGCCAAGTCTTCTTCTTGTAACGCTCACGATGCAGTCTTCTAACAACACTACTTGGTAACCTTTGAAGCAGTTTCATCAACTTGTTCTGTTGGATATATAAACCAGAGGAAACAATCAATTTCAAGTAATTAGCAGTGAGAATGGACAGTGGCAAAAACCTGATATACCTTTCCTATACCAGGAACTCAAAAATAAGCTTGTTAACTTCAGGTCAGTTGCTCAAAATGGATAAGAACCGCAGGAATGTAGTAAATCTAAATGTTCAGAATTCACTATGAGAATTCAGTTCCCAGAACATTACAAGCTACACTGTTCATGTCATTCCTAATCATTTCTATAAACATTTAAAATACATGCTTATATACTCTGTACAATGACTAAATTAGCTCTAGAAAAAACTCAGATAAATAAAGATTACTTACCAGCAATGGAGATCTTCCATAAATATGTATGTGCAGAGGATATGCTTGAAACATTCTGGAATATGTAAGCCATCCTGTGATCTTGGAGCTGCTCAGGAATGAGGCAGGACCCTGGCATGAGTTAGAGCAGCCTTGCCACTAACTTGTGCCAGCTACCAGGGGAGATGCCCTGCACTGCCTGGTAGAGGACCCACTACAATACCTCTAAGTTGTCCAAGGATCCTCTGAGGGTCAAGAAACCCAGCTTTAAGGTTGTTAAGGGACCTACCCCACTTCACAGACTGTATCTGCAGAGCAGTTTGGGAAAGGTACCTGCCTTTGTGTTCACTATTCACATGCGTCAATATCTATTTCCAGTGACAAAGAGTTAATGTAAAAAGCACCAAGAAAGACTGACTAAGTTAACTTAGTCTGTGAACCAAACCTAATTTATGACAGCACTGCTGGAATTCAGTGCAATGAATTGTTCACCAGAAATATTTTCACCAGTAATATCTGCAATAGTAAATTGCCTTTTAGTAAGCTCCTTTCTGCCCTAACTTATGCACAAGCAACTCCCATTCAAGAAAGTTGTATGAAGGCAGAATTGGATCCAATAATTTTTCATATGTTTTTCTAGGATACTTCTAATTAAAAATAATTGTTGGAGATTAAAAAAAGCTCATTTTATCTCCGACAGGTACTGTGCACAGAGAGATATAGAAAAATCCAGTTCTGTTGAGAACTGGAACATCAATTTTAACTGTGAAAACTAAGCTACAGTCTAAATTCAATACTAAATATTAGAACAAAAATAGCATAAAATGTTAAATAGTGGATTTTTAGCTGTGCTTTTAACAAAAGCTCAGTTCATGTTGATTAATCAAAGTTAGATTCTGCTATACCTACAAATGTAGGTCAATATTGTATCATATTCTCTTAACGAAGAAAGTGTGCTTCAGACACTAGAATCATACGATCAATTATTCCAAAATCAGGTTTTACTAGGTTCTTGAAAAACTGACAGACACAACAAAGACTAGCAGCAAGTTTAATTTGACATGTTCATTTTCACAGCTTGTACTTAAGATAGTTAAAAAATAAGCCATGTTTTCTTAATAGATAGGGGTAGTTTTCTGGCTCCTTTTCAGTTTAATTTCACACATCATATTAGTGTTTTCTTGGAAATTTATTTTTTAAAGTATATACATAGTCCACAGTAATTTATTATAGGATGAAATGGTTTGCATAAAGCAGCATATACTCTTTTACTAAGAGCGAAGAGCACAGCAGTGAAAAGTTCAGGATAAAATTATAATCCCACTCCAAATTTAAAATCTTTAGTCTTAAAATCAAAGCATAACAAACTCACCAGCCAGCGACCATTATTTGAAGGATGGTAAAAAGATGCAATACTATTGAATAATCCAGACAAGTGCTTCTGTACTAGTTTACTTGGTCCACCCTGTCCAAAACCAAATACATATATATTTAATCTACTTAACAGGAAAAGCATGAAAAAGGACACTGTTGAGGTCAGAAATCAAGTTTAACCTACCCAAAATAGATTATTCAGCATCATGAGACAAGTTAAAGATCGATATAATATCATTCCATAACAAAGGCAACTTGGATTAACTAACAAACTATTAACACAAATCACTTGGGCTTGGTTTTGGTCACAGAAACATTCTATTACCTCTCTATGCTTTTCTTCTGTTCTTGCGAACAGAAAGAGTTTTAAAATTTGCAAGAATTCCACTTCTGTCTATTTTTAGAACTATCTTTCTTAAGTATCTTTTTATGTATAACAAATGCTATGCAATATTACGGTCTGAGGAAGATGGGCAGGAAAAAGGAAACTGCAATATTCTGGTAACGTATTATTGAAGACAAATTCAAACTACTGTGCAAAGGACACCGAACTTTTGTTCAGCTTCTAGTGAAGAACGGCAGCGTCACTAAAAATACCCCAGACCAGACATAGGAAGCCTAATAATTGAAAGAAATATACATAGGCTTGGAAGGATTAGATTCTTATTCGGTTATATCAGTTTCACCATCAACAAACCAACGGAAAAATATTTCCGTGAACGATAATAAAAAATTACAGATAGGCTAAGAAAGAAAAATACTGCTTGAGAACTTATTAGAATTTCATTTAAGGAAATTTGCTTTGCATACTCTGACATGTGATGTTGACAATTTGTGTTTTACCAGTTACAAAGATTTAATCTTACTAAATCTCAATGTCTTCTCCAATTAAATAATTATTGTTTGACACCCGCTCCCATAATTTCTCAAAACTATGAAAATTTAAAATAGATAAAAAAATCTAAAATGCTTAAAAATAAACATCAATATTATTGGTCAAAATTGTAAAAAAATAAAAATCAAATTTTGCCAACTCTAAATATACATTCTTGTAAGTGGGGTGGCTGATTTCTCTTAGAAATTCATATTCAAATTTTTATATATGCTGAGAAAGTTAATAGGATGGTTCTTAACCCAGTATTAAGAGCAGCACAGCTGTAAGTCAGTAAGAATAAAAAGCAAGTTACCTGAGATTTGAACCTTGTCATGAGGCAGAGTGGCCTCCCTCCGGACTTGAGAGCGAGGGACCACTAATTCCTCCAGTGGGAGGAGCCAGACCCGCCTTTCCCCCCCCAAACAGAAGTACCGGGGTGGAACTGGAAGTTATAGGAAAAGCCCTGCAGCTCAAGTGAGCAGGAGCCACAGAAGAAGATATGCCTCTCCAGTCTGCTGCTACAGCCAAGCTGACGCTGTGCAGCGCCTTGTCTCCGGAGGAGACTATGTAACATTGCACCCCATATTCTTCAGAGAGATATTATGATGATATGATTATGGCATAATTCTGATGTATTTTATGCAAGATAGGTCATGTGAGATATTTCTGAAAAAGTTATGATTTACTGAATATGATTATCCTATTTGTATGCATTATCACTTTTGTATCTGAAGTTAGGAATATTGACTACGCATCTGTGTTACAAATGTGAGCACACATTGGGAACGCCCACTAGACAAAGGACTCTCAGTCTAGATGGCTGTCTGGGAAAGGCCCGTTCAAGTTAATGAACCATTAGTAAGAACAATAGGCCTTAGAAGAAGCTTATTTCACACCTGGGTGCCTTATTGAGGATGCTACAAACAGCCTTCGACTCATGGCTGCTATGACACTACAGGGACATGTGACCATGTCACCTGGTGCTGGACTCCATCTTGGGATATCAGTGTTTTTCCACTGACTGGCATGGGAACCAAGCTTTGAAACAAAGGTTTCCTGCCATATGCAAAGGCTATTTAAGGCATCATCGTGGTTTTTCACTGACTCCCCACCCAAAGAGACTCCTGGAAACACCTGAGGAACTAAGACTGAACTGGAAGAAGTGCTGGACCCAGGCTAAAAGGATTTTAAGCCTGTGAATGGAACACCTGGGGATTACAAGCTGTAAACTAGTGCAGCTTGCCCCTTAAGAAACTGTAGCCTGCTTCTATCATCACATACGGTGAGGATTTGCTATTCAGATCCGATCTATTGAATATATTAAGCTTAGTTTGCGTTTTTTGTTTATTGCTAGGTACTCCGCTGTGTTCCGTTTGCTATCCCTTATAATCACTTAAAATCTATCTTTTGCAGTTAATAAATTTGTTTTTGCTTTGTATAAAACAAGTGTGGATGGGAGTCATAACTCAGGGGCAGAAAGCTGTTGTATATTCCTCTCCACATTGAGGGAGGGGACAAATTTCATGAGCTTATGCTGTACAGTTCCCTGTGCAGTGCAAGATGGTGTAATTTTGGGTTTACACTTCAGAGGGAGGTGCAGAATAGCTGGGAAGTTCCTTAGCTGGAGCTTTACCATGCAGAAATGATCACAGCATCTGCACATAACTGCAGCTGGGTGTGCCCCATCTGTATGCGTGCTGGTGAACGTGCAGGCTGTTCACAGCAGTACAGTGTAAAGGGAGCAGTATAGTGAAAAGGGAGCCCAGGCTGGCACGTCGGGGGGCTCAGTGGTACCCCAGTTCCAGGTGGCACCTGTCACAACCATCCTTAGAGAGGAGTTGCCAGGACTGCGTGTGCAGTGTACCCTGAGGAGACAGAGAACCTTGGACTACGGAACCCCCTCTCCAAACTGTGATAGGAAGTAGCTCAGGGAAACCAGACATTAGTCCAGTTTGGTTCCCAGAGCAGGGGTCAGGGTATTTTGGTGGGATCCCCCGTTGACCCAGTGGCCGAACACTCCGCCACTGTTAGGGCCCAGTGGAGTCGGATGGGTCCGGGTCCCCCTATGGCTCCCCGACACCAACCCCATCCCAGGGATGGCGACGTTTGTACCCCTAGGCCAGAAGGCCTGTGTTTGGCTTGTGCCATCAGGAGACAGTGAGCCTTAGACTGTGCGTTTGCTGGCTGCCTTATCTAGGAGGCTTAGGCTAAGGCCTGCTCCTTGCTCTGCCCCACCCAAAGGGCCAGAGCCCTAGACTGTTAATTACTGCAAGCCCCAGCCAGGAGACTGTGGGCTAAAGAGTGCTCACCGCTTTGCTCCACCTGAGGAGCTAGAGCATCAGCCTGTTACTGCTTCTTTGCCTCTACTAGGTGGCTATAGAGCTGTAGACGTCTTACTGCTCGGCCCCACCAGCGGGACCCGAGCGTGAGTGCTGTTGCCTGATACAGCTAGGTGGAGTGACCTCCCGCCTCATTTGAGAGCAAGGGACCACTACAAACCTAAATGTATGCTTCCTGAACAAATATTTACATTCAGAACAGGGCAGCTACTTAGAATGATTAATTCATTCCATGTAGTAATGTTGGCAGGCTATAGCATAATGCTAGAAGCCTTCTTTTTGTAACTGTTATTGTTGGCATTTCTTTACATTCTTTGATGAAACAACATAGCTCCATTTCAGTGCACTAACGTCACCCAAAATTAAATTCATGATTCTTTAATTATCCTTACAGGATGCGAGGTAGACCCATGAAAATTTGGACTGTAAACCTGAGCTAAGTTGCAACTCTAATAACAATAAAACTGTAATGAAACAGACCTGAAGTTTAATTGTTTTATTTCAATATAATGTACTCTATCCTGCAATAAAGCTATAAGGAATTTATAATATTTTATAGTAATAGACTAATGACTGAAAACATAGGATTAGGATTCCCCACTGTACTCTAATGGGTGAGGCATTTATGATGTGTTGCTCACGTCCATTCCAGTCCAGGGCAGAACATGTGTCCCCGTCGGAGATTTTTGCCTTAGGGCCATCTGTGGTGCCCTCTGGAGTACCGCACTCATGCTGTGGTATATTAGGGGCCGGCGGCCCTACGCCCTCTCTGTTCCTTCTTGCCGACAACTCCAACAGAGGGGCAGAAGGGTAGGTAATGAAATGGACATGAGCAACACATCTCCCTGAAGAACAACAGTTCTGAAAGGTAGGTAACCTTTTTTCTTCTTCGAGTGCTCGCTCATGTCGATTCCATTCTAGGTGACTCACAAGTAGAATCAATGGAGGTAGGCTTGGAGTTCACAGTCTCACAGTTTGCAGCACTGCTCTGCCAAAGCCAGCATTGTCTCGAGCCTGCTGGGTCAGCACATAGTGCGACGCAAATGTGTAGATGGATAACCAGGTTGCGGCCCAACAGATCTCTTGGATCGGCACCTGCGCTAGGGAGGCTGTTGAGGACACCTGCACCCTAGCTGAATAAGCCGTCATGTTCGCCGGCGGGGGCATTTTTTCCAGCTCACAGCAGTAGAGGATGAAGGCCGTGATCCAATACAAGATTCTCTGGACTGACACTGGGCAACCTTTCATCCTGTCAGTGACAGCAACAAACAACTGTGTTGATTTACGGAACAGCTTTGTTCCAACAATGTAGAAGGCCAGCGCCCATCTGACATCCAGGGCATGCAGCCTGAGCTCCTCATTCTTTGCATGAGGCTTTGGACAAAGGACTGGTAAGTAAACGTCTTGACCAGTAAGGAACTGGGAGACGACCTTGGGCAGAAAGGCTAGGTGCAGACGCAGCTGGACTTTGTCCTTACAGAAGTCGGTATAGTCTGATGTGAGCACCCTGATCTTGGTCACCCTACGGGCCGCAATTATAGCGGCCAAGAAGACGACCTTCCAGGAGAGAAGCAGAAGGGAGCAGGAAGCCAAGGGTTCAAAGAGTGGACCCCTGAGCATGAACAGCACAAGATTCAGATCCCAAGGCGGGACCGGATCTTGGACATGTGGGTAAAGGTGCTCCAAACCCTTCAGGAAGCTTCCCGTTATGGGATGGGTGAAGACCGACCAGCCCTGAAGTGGAGGGTGGAACGCCAAAATGGTTGCCAGGTATACCTTGATCAAAGTTAGCGACAGACTCTTGTGCTTAAGGGGTAGTAAATAAACCAGGATGTCCTGCAGAGGGGCCTCTTCCGCACGAATGTGTCAGTCTGAGAC